TTTTTTTAAAAAAAAAAAAGTCTAGGTCTCCAGATGCTCTCCTAAACAGAAGATGGCTAAGATCCTATGAAGAAAGGAAACATGCAGGTGATAGCATTAGGTCACTGTTTATGATGTAGGTCACTATTTTTCAATGCGCTGAAAAGCTTCCAGAGAGCGATCGAGACTTTCATGTTGATAATTAGTGATTTGTCACAGCGGTTATGTGCCACTTCAGGGTGAATCTGCTTCTCCACTCTTTATACAAGAGGCTCACTGGTTCATCACACTTGGCATCATGTAAGGGAACGTTTCCTTATTTGATTTCACAATTAACATAGCAAATTTGGTGTGATTTGCTGCTGTCCTTTTTATGCTGAAAACGCAAACTTTCCCCATGGGGAAAGGATAATATAAAAGAGAGAGAAAGAGAGGGGAGTGGGAGTGGGAGAAAGAGAAAAGAAAGGAAGGAAGGAAGGAAGGAAGGAAAGGAAGGAAGGAAGGAAGGAAGGAAGGAAGAAAGAAAGAAAGAAAGAAAGAAAGAAAGAAAGAAAGAAAGAAAGATAGACTTACCAGTCCATCACAATTGCTGATGGCAACAGAAGCATTAGGCAAGTCCGTGATATGCCCCACATAGAGGCAATCCCCATGAAGTGGTTCAGTGTAGGTGATGTTTGAATCCTCCTGCCATTCCACAGTTGCTCCAGGAGCCACCAGCCGGGAATTTGGCCTTAATCTAAAGTGGAATTCTTGTCCGAAAACAGTGACATTGTAAAAAATTTCCTTGCCTGCAGCATCCTGAGGAAAATCCCTGATGTCTCTTGGGAAGCGCCTCTTTGATGCTCCCGACACGACTTTGGAAACGAACCTGCCTTTTGAGTCTGTGCTAGTTGGGATGACCAGCCTGTATTCCTCTAGATTTCCCAAAATAGAATCTAGAGAGAGAGAGAAAACCATGAGTAATAAGAGTCAAGCTGAATACCTCGCTCCTAAGACTACCACTGGCTGGGGTCATCTATTTCATTGGTCTGTGAGGTTAAGGAAGGGAAAATACTAAGAGACGCATCATGCCTTATTTTTCCAGTTGTTTTATTAAGAAAGCCCAGCTGGCAGGCATGGTAAGTATTTAGGAATGGACAGGGGTCAAGATGCTGCCCCCTCTGCAACTGAGCAAGATGGACTAGAAACACCCCACAGCGGAATAAATCCATCTTAAGTGATGATGCTTCTAAAAGCCATCTGCTTGAAGATAGAAAGTGAAGGGGGAGGGCAAACACCTCGCATCAACTTTCAAACTCTGCCATACTCCTCAAAGTTTCGATTATTCCCAAATTTGAAGGATGGGGATATCAATGGAAAAGTTTTTTTTTAAAAAAAAGAGAAAAAGAAAAGAGCTGTCTACTACGTTGGCTTCGCTTCTTTCCTTCCAGCAAAACAGACGGAAGGAAAACTTAAGTCCCTGCCAGGTGGATTCTCTGCCCCGCGCGTCCGAGTTCAACCGAGGTCCCAGCCTCCCTGATTTGCAGCTGAAAGGCGCCCCGCCAGCTCAGCAGGATCGAAGAAGCTACACCCACCCACCCAACCCCCTACGGAAAACCACGCCACACGTGGCGGCGGGGAGGATTCCCCGGCCCTCGGACCAAGCAACCCGACGTGGCGCGGAGAACTCTAGCGGGCAAAAAGTCCTCCGCTCGTGGGCGAAGTTAGACAGGCAGCCTCAAGGGGAGGCGGGCAAAGAAGGGGCGTCTGGCTAATCCCTGCCGAATGGCTAGGGCAGTTTAAGCCGAGGGAACCCGGCAGCTCACTTACCTTTCTCCCCGGGACTCTGCGGGGCCCCCGGGGCCAAAAGGAGCATCCAGCAGGCGAGAAGAAGCAAGGCGATCCCGGCCAGAGGAGCCATGGCAGGCGTAGTTCAGCCCAACCCCAGCCTTCAACTTCGCTGCCAGGGGGCTCCGGCCACATTGAAGGCAGCCGGCACCGCCCTCTAGCCCACCACCAGGCAACCTCAGCCCCGCGGCTCCTTGCCCTGGCTCATCCGCTCCTCTCCAGCGCTCAGCCTCGACGAAGGCAGCAGAGACACCAGCAGGCAGCTTGCTGGAAAGCACGGGGCGTGCAAGGAGGGAAGTCCGCCTGATTGACAGAACTGCCGCCGCCGCTGCTGCCACCGCTGCCTGCGAGCCTGCCACGGCCTCGCCTCGCCCGGCCCGGCTTGGCTTGGCTTGGCGGCGGCTCTCCCTGGAACTCTCGCAGCCTCCTCCTGCTGTCGGCCGAGACAAAAACTCTGCAGCCTCCTCCGGTTACGGGACACTTTTCCCCAGCCCAGCTAAGAGGCGGTTCCTGAGGGATCCTGAGTATTTCCCTCCACCCCGCGCTCAAAATCCTCCTCTTCTTAGAAAGAGAACTAGAAGGGAAGATCGCACCAGACAGAAGCCCCCAGATGCTTGGTTTGGAATCGGTCGGGGATCTTCTGCGAAAAAAGATCTCGTACGTTATCTTGAACTCTCCCAACTTAGGAAGGGGAGTGGACGTCTGATTTCCCCCCCCCCAAAGTCTAATTAGAGAGGGCTTTTGCTTTCTGTATGTGTTATATCGACAAGGCACTTTGTGATATTTTTATTTATTTTCATTTTATTTATTTGATTTGTCAATCATTTACAATGTAATAGGTATAAGAATAAACATGAGTATGAATGAAATGAATACGAATAAATGGGGACAGTAGGACAGGGTCATAGGAACACTGAGGTGTGCTTATACATGCCCCTTATCGTGGTATCCACTCTAGAAAGGTAGAATCGGATCCTTCCGGATCAAAATGTAATTGCTAGATTATACTTAAGCCTCCCCTCTGGCTGCACTAAAAATTCCTGGATTTTTCTCATCTTGGTTATCATAAAATCTAGATGGAAATATTATCATATCCTGATGACTTTTGCATCCCAGCCCTGCATTTGACTCCACTCCTTGTTTTAGTTTAACAACTCAAAAATGCATTTATAAAAAAAGAAAAAAAAAGAAATTCACTTCCAGCAAGTAAGCGACCCTATTAATTTTTAACATGCTATTGTTACATCTAACAATTATATGTAATTCTTAACCGTGGTTAAGGTGGTTAAAGAATTGGACTACGATTGGGAAGATACAAGTTCAAATCCATCCTCAGGGAAAATTCAGGTTCAAATCTATCCCCCAGGCAGGGGAGAAATTCAGCAGGTTCTGNTTATAAAAGCGAGGGCGGTGTTTATTACTCAATGTTATATGTCTCGGTTGCACAGTAAACATGTGATTGTATATAATGAAATGGAAATAAAAAAGATTTGTACAGAAAAAAAAAAAATAAAATAAAATAAAATAAAATAAGAAAATTCTCTTTCTAAGGTAGCTTATAAAGACAGTGTTTTCCTGTATCTTGTTTCAAAACTCCTTCACAAAAGAAGTCCAACCTCAGAGCTCAACCCGGAGTTTCTAGGTCTTAACAATTCTGAATGTGATCACATAGATGTCACCTGATCCACAACTACATGCTACATGGCACTACCTTTGTTGCCAATGCTTTTGTGATACTTTGAACTTGAAAGACAACAAGTGCTTTAGAACCTGCCAAACTGCTCCCATAGCTCATCTGCAATTCCTCAAAGTAGCTGCATCTTTTTTCTGGAATGACACATCTTCCTTCCCCGGCTGAATCACATGTCTAGGAGAAAGATGTGTTTTGATTTAAGGGATTGCAGATAATCACTATGTATGCACGTACGCACGCACGCACATGCACATGTGTGTTACAATATTTATGACTGGGAGAGACATGACAGCAAGGTCAGCCAATGAATAGGCATAACAACTAAGTCAGCCAAGGAGAGCTTAAACAGATCTGAGTCTGTGCTGAGAATCTAAACTGAAACTTAAGACTCTGTCTGCTCTGAACTCTGAAATGAAACTAACTGTTCTCTCCTGCTTGTATTCTGCTTGTACCTTCTGCCACGTTGAAAGAATCTCCTATTGATATTGTACATTTATTCATCTGTTATTATGAATAAAGAAGTTAATGAATCCAGATGAATCAGTTATCTGTGTGTGTTTTCTGGATTTGATTTTTCAGCAATACTCTGGCAATGCGTGCGCGCGTGCACGCACACACACACACACACACACACACATGCACACGCACATACATGCACACACAGACGGCACTCCAGTACCCCTATTTTGTCTTTGAATCTGAAGTGCTGCACAGCCATAGAGAATAGCAAAATGAACTTCCAGCCTCAAGGACATTGTCAAGAGAATCAAGTGTCCCTTGAGAATACAATAGTTGTGCATGCATTCTTGATGTCAGTTTTCTTCAGCTCGGTGCTCTGATGGAAGTTTGGGATGAAAACTTCCATAACATTGCCTGAGGAGGATGAGAAATATAGCCGAATACAGCAGAGACAAATTTCTTTAAAAGATAAAGCCGCCAATATTTATCTGTTGTCTTATAAGTCTGTACTCTGCATCTACACCAGTGGTGGGATTCAGCCAGTTCGCACCTATTCGGTTCTTAACTTTCTAAGCAGTTTGGAGAACCGGTTGTTGGAAGAGCTAATCCTGTAAAGAAGGCAGGAAGGAAACATTCTGGTGTTGTTTCCAGCCTAATCTTTATTACCCTGCTTACAGAAACTGCCTCTCCAATTAACCCTTGTTACATTGTAACAGCTAAGGTGAAGCACCCATCGACCTGAGCGACATTGAGTTGGCCATGCCCACCCAGTCACATGACCACTGATCCCCGCCTACCCAGCTGGTCATAGGGCAGAGAACCAGTTGTTAAATTATTGGAATCCCACCACTAACTTACACATGCACCAACACCCCCCCCGCCCCCATGATTGGATAATGAACCAACTTGACATGGTTGATTAATGCCATCAGCACATAGAAAGAATAGTGGCATGAGTTCAAGTCCAAGTAGAGCCATCTTGTTGTATATCACCAAGACCAAGATCTCCATCTAGGATAGTTAATAGTGCAGATGCTTGCCAAAAATTGGTTCACAACCACACAAAATGCAAAAAAATAACAATAGATGAAATGGTATCGAAAATTTTGCCTATTAAATACTTCTAAGCCAAGCTACTATTAAAGGTATTGGAATATTGCCCAAAAAGGAGAAAGTTGGCAACTACATCTTGCCTCTTATTTTTTAATCAGAATCTGGACAGAATTCAGACAACAGAAAGGTCACGATCTAAGCTGAAATCCATTTATCTTATAAGTGCTACCAGCTGTATGTTAGCAAGCTGTTTTCTCTCTCAAACAATATAAATAAGATGATGTTGGATATAATTAGATGTCCATTCCCTAAAGGAGAACTAAGCAAAGTTACTTCAGCAAAGCAGTTAGACTTTAAAATATAGTATTTAAGAGACATATAGTTCGACTTTTCTTGCTATGGAGTGAAATATTGAATTAGAGATAGATGATAGATGGTTGATAGTTTAGATAGATAGATAGATAGATAGATAGATAGATAGATAGATAGATAGATAGATAGATAGATAGATAGATAGATAGATANAGGGGCTCCGTTGAGCTCCTTCGGCGACAGGCTCCTCCCACAGGAAGTCGAACACAATGTAATCTTGGCAAAATATTTGTTCCGTAGCTTTTATCTTTCAGGCAGCTGCAAGGCTCCATCTGGTTTCATCTTAGAGTATTTAAATAATCCTGACCAGTTTCCTTCGACTCTGCAGTTTCTGTCCTAATATCTATTCTGTACAACTGTTAATGCTCAGAGAAACACACAGACATATTCAAACAATAATCATGCCACACCATGGCTATGCTATGTGGTGGTTTTTGGTGCTGTTGCTATGCTTTATTGTTCCAGTTCCTTTAGTACTTAGCATATGTCTTATGTACAAATGCTTTCTACAGTTAGATCCTTTTTTTAAAAATAGAAAACAATCATTTCAAATCACTTGCTTTGCTTGGGATTTCAATCATTTCCTAATTTCTCTTACACCTGCATACTACCTGTAGAGTAGTTCACTGGTGTTTACTACAGATTCACCTACTATAGATTGTTTAGTCGTTGCCAGCTCAGGCACTCTTTGTGAATGTGAGTAAAGCTAACACACTTTGTTTCAGCTTGTACCACTTATTTACAATTAATCCAATTTGTCAATGAATCTCATCTGGCAGTTATTGTCGATTCGAATAATTTTCACAACCCTCGTTCAAGCTTTTTGTTCTCTTGCATTCTGAATACAGGTAAATAAGCTTCGACTGCAAATTAAGGTACTTCAACCCTTTGTACAATGGGATTTCTGGTTTGGCCCCAGAGTTGACTCAAGAGTTTATTTGGAAAGTGAAGAAATATTTCCAATGATGCAGGTATTACCTCTGCAGAAAAACAGTAGTGGATTTCAATTTAAAACTCAAAGGATATATATGTAACCACAGCCGAATCAATGTACATCATGCTTTCAAGGGCTTCATATTCATGTTTCTTCCCTAAACCTTCAGAATATTCTGCAAAAGAAGAAAAGAATTGCAACTTTTAGCATCATGGGCCACAGTTTCATATGTCACATCTTCTTAAGCAGTTCTCAAGTTCTGATTCTCATTGATTAGGCAAGAGGTGCCCTGGTGGGCTCATATGCTTTAACTCTGATAGTCTTATGATAGCTGCTCTGTGTCTGTTTTCACCCTTCTAGTTTGTCATTATAAATCCCTAAATCACTTGTGCTCTAATCAGTATTCTTAATCTATAACATGTTGACATTCCTTGAGTGCTTATTTGTCTCCCAACACCTCTCCCAAAAGAGCATTTCTTCAAACACTTCCTCTTCTGTTTGCAAAATAATTGTCTTGGGAACTGTTTGTCAATCCATGGCAAATCTTTAATCTTAATTCTCTCTCCAGGTCTCCCATCATAGCTCATAAAACTGTTATGACTACCTCATTCTTCATTAGCTATCTGTGTTTAATGATGAGTTTAATTGGTTTTTAGTGGTTTTGCTTCCGAACATGTATTTCCACTAAGTACACATATATATCAGATTTATTCCTATGATGTATATA